TCCTATTTTTCTCCTCACTAATAGAACTAATTTAAAAATACAATAAGAAAGAATTAGTACAAATATCTATATTCATTTGCAATAGATATAACTACATACATGTATTTAAGATACCTACTGTTCCATACACCTTTCCTGAGTATGATACAATACGGACGAAATTTAGTTCACGAACTTATATGGTTAAATTATCCTATTACAAGAATTCTCAACATTAATGCTTGAGTAAAATTAAAAAGAATTTAAAAATCACCTAATTGTATACAGATCTAGGCGTAGTTCTAACAATATATTCCTAAATCCCCATGACCTCTATCTTCGTAGTATACACAACCGTTATTACCATTTTTTAGCTATGGTTCCCGGACTTGCTAGTTCTCCCTCCCGACGTTCCTCACAATAAGGATGTGTAAGTTTCTTTCACAATGGATAGTACGCCAGTTGTATATATTTCTCTTTCATGACTTATGCTGTACTCATGATATAGTAGGATAGTTCTACGGAATATGGAGTATAACAATCCTTATCGAAACCACATATGTCGTGCACAATCAAGCCAGGTACCTTTCACATGAATCTTTATGTTCCCTTCCAGAAGTAATATTGCAGGATTATATATAAAATACATGCCCCTCTAAGAATTCTAATATATTTTGATCATAGGATGTCCACGAACAACATTTTATATATTTCAGAAGGGGGAATAACCTGAAGTTGTACCTATATATATTCATATTGTCCATGGCGCCATAGAATAGGCTGTTCATGGATTCCAATTCCTCAGCTCCCTATTTCGTTTATACAGGGCACCAAAACACTGTCCGCAAATTCTAGAATTACTGCATGAAGTTAACACATTAGACTTTATATCATGCACATTACTTTCCATATCGGATTCGCATATTTCTTTTTCCCCAACTGATTTATGTTAATTGTTTAGCCTCATATAAACGCTATCCAGTACGAAATTATGTGGCTCTTGGGTTATTTCGGTAGATTATTCATATATAAAAAGAGGGCATTAAACACCTTATGAAGAAAACTGGTATATATTCAGATATTACTGTATCATCCATTTGTATAATACAGAAGAGAAGATTGAGAAAATAGAAAGAAATAATAGGGAGCCTTTGAAGACATTGTCCATTTCAAAGAATTACACACTTGTTGATACTCACTCTCACAAGAACTGCATTATGTTCCTGCTGAATATTTTTACTTCTCGAAAGAAACATATATGAGTACGCCTTCCTCCAACCGATAACAGGGACTTCGTCAATAACCAGATAAACCTGTATCTTTACAGTAAATAGAAATACTCCCACAATTGAGAGACAGGAAACGAAAAGATACCATAATGTTAGGAACACCACCAAATGAAATTAGAGGAACCCCTTATAAAACAACATATGTTACACAGGTGCATGGGAGCTTTTCATATTGTACATACACGCTTGCAGAAATCAGTCACAACTAGGGTTCCACTGTGTAGAGCTATTAATGATACATATTGCTTCAAATTATTCTCACAAATGTCGATTCAGTTTATAATAATTTAATACGAACTAATATTCATTCAGAAGAAGTTTGTTCTAAATAAACCTATTTCAGCGATTCATATATGGCACGCCTTATCTATCTAATAAATGTGAAGCGACCGTTAAGAAACAAAAAAAAAAAAACTTATATTACTCGAAAGATAAGAATGTCATCCAACTACTGTTGAAGTCCATAAGAGAAAAAATACTCATATCCCCAACTTCAGGCCAATGAATTACTCTTCGAATAAAGAGACCCTTTTCGTAACGGCGCCTTATTGTATTATATTATTCCATGCATTTCCCTTTGTTGATTTTAAATTAATAAATATATATATACATATATCATTCATATTCTATAGGACGCTGAAGTGAAACGATGAATTTTTATTCTTATGTAGGTTATAGTATACCTAAAGTAAACATATAAGTAGAACTGATTCATATAAAAATGAATAGGACGTAGATCAGGAATTTTACTTATTTTTTCTTATGCTTCTTATTATTTATTTTTGCCACTATACTATTTTTCTTTTTCTTCTTTTATTCAGAAAGCTCCTAAACAGATTATTCTTTTTGCCCTACCAGAATTGGTACCATCAGAATTAATTTATGTTATACATAAAAATGCATATGAATGTACAGAAACAAACGAAGGCCTCCGTTAAAGGAAAGTAAAATATAATATATTTTAATATGTCATAAAATTGGGGGCAAGAATCCAACTCACTGGAAAAATTGTATTTCCTATCTTAATCTTCTTGAAATATTTTACCCTAGTTATATGAATTCTATTAACGGTGTATAATCCGCGCTGCTCATAAATTTCCAAGCAAAATAAGGTAGGAAGTCTCCTTCAGGGATAATAAAGTTTAATTAAAGAAGAGACTAGAATAGCCTCGGAAAAGAAGGAAGATTCAACTCAACAAGCCCCAGAAAAAAGATAAGTCCTCTCCCTAACCGAAGAGGTAACAGTTGAAGTCTCAGAAGTAGCTAAAATAATGACTATCCCCAGAAAAATTGAATCAGGATAATTCAAGGCAGAAATAAGGAATCAAAGTGGCTAACTAAAAGGAAGAGCCACAAAGAAAGAGTAGATATAATAACAATTTTCCACAGCCCCCGGAGGAACCCAGAGAGAATCTCAATATACCTCCGAAGAAAGAGAAGGTGATGTCAAGGAGGGCCTTTGAGTTATCATAGATCCCCGAAATTCAGAAATTATTGGAGGGAAGAAGGCGTTTTCTTCTACAAAGAATTAAGAAAGTTATTTATTCACCACAAAAAGAATTCCTCCCTATCCGCTAAATCCTCATCAGGAGCCAAGCCCCCCTGCAACTCCCCCAAGAATAACTCAACGAGACACCTACGAGTCCGTTCTGGTGTGACGAATAGGGAGCGCCCTTCCAGAATCCGCCTTAAGGTTGATAAAAGGTAGTGAAAAGGTCCTGCATCTGGAAGAATGACAACTATCCTCCCTGGTGAAGTAAAGAGGGGGAAACCAAGGAGTAACGGTATAATTAAGGCCTGACTGAGAGAAGAGGGGACTCTAAGGAAAAAGGCAGGGGGAGAATTCTACAAAGGTCCGAAGCCTACAGGGTGAGTCAGGGGTTGCTGTTAAAATGAAAAGAAAAAGTCTCCAAGAATAACCAGGCTTCGGAATTGAGAGGAAGCCACTTCAGGAGCGCACTCACCAAAGAGGGATGCAGCAAAAAGAACAAGTAGGATATGAAGAATCAGACAAGTTCATGAAATGTTGAGAGTTTCCATAGAAGATTTGAACAGCAGGGCAGTCATTAATCTCTGAACTGAAGGAAGAGTAAGAATAAGCATGAAGAGTCAGAAGTCGTCTTCCCCCCGACCACGGGAACTATAGTTATGAAACCCAATGATTCCGTTCAAGGAGAAAGAATTAGTGTAGTACAGACCGGAAAAATTTCATAAATGCAACTTGGAGACACGGCCCGAACAGAAGCCAGAAAGATAAGAAGAACATCGGATCAGTAAACAAAAGGGAACATCAGTTCTCTGTAAATTAAGGAGAGATTCTCCTCAGTCGCCCTCACAAATCACGTTGGAGTGAACCTAAAGCGCGGACTAGCCTCAGAAGCTTAAGCCTCTAAGCTAAAAACACAGGATCAAACAAGAAGATTCCGTTAGAAGAATTTGGGGCAACAGAATTCCTTCCAAACAACAGGCAATCAATAGCGAACCAGGGAGAAGACTTCTCATTAGGATACCCCCAGCCTAAGAGAAAGGGAGACTCAGTCTAGGGAAAAGGCCATAGCAGATCCTTAATTCCGCCTTAGGAAGTGGAACAAATAAGACAGCTAAGATTGGCGCCAGATCCTATAATTGAGGCGCAAATTGAGATAAGAATTAGGGCAATCCTCAGCAAGGACAACTTCAGAGTTTTAGGCGACGCATGTCTAAAGAGAAGAATCAGTACTAAAGGATATGTCATTGAATGAGAACGGAAGGAGAATTCTCCAGCTTCTCTGAAAAAGAGGACTGAGTCCTTCATTTAAAGTATAAGGACAGCTATAGTTTAAAGCGGATTGAAACCCAAATCATCCAAGGATCTACCCCAGTCCATCTAATCTAAAGGGGGATTAAATCTCTGTTAAGAAACCTCAGGCACAGACTACGTTATGAGCAATAACCCCACTGAGCAATCAAACAGGATCTGCGTGTCCCCCCTCTTGGACTAACTTTAAGAAGGGAGCTCAAAACTCCTTTCTTTCCTAAAACAATAATAGGGCCTAAAATAAAAGCCCGTGCATTAAGATTCTCTAAGTCAGAAAAAAGATAATTGAGAAGCAGCTCACCCAAAAGAAAGGAAGTCAGTAGATAGGCAAATCCTCACTAAGATAAATAACCCAAGGTCGCCTATAGCTATAAGGGTTAAGTCTATTAGGTGTGCACCCAAACAACAAATGATTTCCTGTACAACTAAAACAGGTTCAGGAAATGAGCTCCTCTGGATTAAACTCCTTGTGGAAGTTGACTTCTTGGGCCGACTCCGCTGGGGACAAATGGGGATATCCTCCCCCCCCGGCCAGGACATCTCAATGTGCGGGACAGGAGCAGTATTGTTATCAATTCTTGTTCCAGGGAGACAGACCAAGATGGGGACAATTAGACCAGTGGATCCATAGGAAGATGTTAAAGAATCACCCCTATGAATGGAACACGCATTTTGATCCCCATGTCTCAACCGGGTTGCCCACCTTAGAGCAGGGAAAGGAACTGAGCTGGGGACAATTCCTGCATAGAGTCTTAGAGAAAGTAGCTGCCAACAGCACACAATTCAGAGCAGAAAGTACTTCATCAATAATCTGGAATAAGGATGAGTGGAACAGTGTATTAGGACAATCCAAACCAAACAAACAACCATTAGACCAATTTCCTTCAGGTAGGAAACTATTATTCGTCTTGATGTGTATAATAACAGGATTAGTCAAAGACCAAAACGCGAAACCTGAGCAATTTCCGAGAAGGGGAAGATTATGTAATATAGTAGATACCAATTTGAACTTTTTGGAGGAACAGTGGAACACGTGGATAAAAGATCACCACAACAGGAGGAAAGAGGAGGGAACAAGATGTTCTAGAGTGCATGGATATGATGCATGTCAGAATGCAAGTATAGCTTTAATATTGAGTATCTATAAGTCGATGAAGGACCTATGTCCCAGTTGTGGGCCATATAGGATGAATAATTGGATAGTATCGGCATCAGACGAGAATGCCGCGCAGGGGAAAGTCTATTGTACAATAGGGGACTCTGGAATAAATTGTGAGAAGTCACTTCAGGACAACAAATTAGAGGGCATTCTAATACTGAGGGACGGGGAGTTGACTCAGGCAGCCAGACCAGGGGTGTTAAGGGTGGTGCAGAAATTAGACGAACGAGTTGAACGAATAAGACGAGAAGAGGAAAATCGAAATATTTCCGAGATCAAGGAGGGCCAGGAGCGCTCTGATATTTTAGGATTTATATCTGCCTCCGGAGAACTGCAGAGCCCCTCAGAGTCGCCGAAAGAAAGAATAAGCCCTAACAATGGAGTGACTAAGGGCCCCGAACTAACTCTGCCGCAAGAGGCGAGATCTCTGGATGAGTTACCCTCGACCGTCCCCCCCCGCGTAGCAAGTGAAAGAGAGAGCAATTTAGGACACGGGTTAGAGTCATTCAGTGAGGACTCCCGTGATTCTGAGTTCCGAGATGAGGATGCCCTCCAAACAGAGAGCACTGGGCTGCAACAACCAGAGGAAAGGGAGCAGTATGACGAAGTTTTGGGCTCGTCAGATTTACGTGAACGGTTCCCCTGGGCGTTAATAGGAGGAGTAGCAGGCGCCGTGTTTTTGGCGGTTGGGGGTGGTTATGGTTTATGGAGAATATTCAGCAGACCAAAAAGGAGAGTCCAATTGGAAGTGGCCTATAGGGGGAGCGTTGCGTATGGTGTGGGCTACAGATGACGAAGAAAAGGGGGAGTTAGGAGTTTAGGGTTTAGGGTTCAGAGTTTATTTTTTGCATATCACCTCCATGACTGTGCTGTATATTATTCCCCAACGCTTCCATTAGGGACACTAATATCTATATCTTTTATAAAATAGCCCCGTTGGCATCCTACGTCTCCTTGATTCTGTTCTTAAGGCGTCGGGTTCGATATCATATTTAACAATTCTTGATGGTACTGTTACCTGCATATCAGAACATGGGGCTTCCTGAAAATTCCCTTCTATATGGTTCTGAATGTTAAAGACAATTGGAGAGGACATATTAATCTTCATTTATATATAGGTGTCTTCTTGTCATATAACCCTACTACTTGTTGAGGACTACTATTCCTCATTATGGGAACGA